ATTATCAAACACATTATATTCATTATACAAATTAAATATGACATGTATAACACTTTTAAATTAAAATATTATTCAATTAATAATACTATTTTATTGTAATACTAATAATAAAGGGTATCAAATTAAATTAATAGTACTTATGTATACTTAAAAATTAAATGTAATTGCAGTGGGTATTAAATGTAATTACAGTGACTATTAAATATAATTACAGTAGGGTATTAAATATAATTATTCATTATTATAACAAAAACATTATAACAGGTAGAAGAACGATAGAGAATTAAATGTAATTATAGTGGGACATTAAATATAATTACAGTGGATATTAAATGTAATTGATGTGGGTATTAAATATAATTACACTGGAGTATTAAATGTAATTATTCATAGTTATAACAAAAAAAATATATATAAAAGCAGAAGACTTGCACAATTCAACCACACGAACGAACAGACGGACAGAGAGAAGGGCGAGAGGCGACAGGCAGAGGCGTAGGCGATCGCGATTGCGATGTTGTTGCTGGAGAGAGAGAGAGAGAGAGAGAGAGAGAGGGGAAGAAGTAGAGAAGAACATACCTGTGGACCAGTGGTAGCTCGTGGTTGCAGCGATGAAGATTGGACAACTCCCAAGCCCTAGATCTGCGTGGATAATGATTGGATCTGCTCAAATCTGGAGTCAAGGAGGTAAGTTACCGTAATTTCTCCTTCAATTTCTAGTTCGTCTGGTGCTTTTCTCTCCCTCTTCTCTGTTTTTTTTTTACTTAGGGCTGTGAACGATTTTTGAGACATACATGTGATTTTTGAGAAGGAATCTTCTTTCTGCCTTTTTTTTTTTTTGGCTTGGAGCTGTGAACGAATCTATTTTCTGACTGAGCCTCTCTTTTTTCTTTTGGTCTAGAGTGAACCGAATATATCATTGTTTCTTGAAAACGGTACTTTTCGACAGAAATGGTCTGAAACAGTGCTGTTTCGACCGAAATACTGAAATTTTGTGTTTCAACCACTGTTTCATGTCATAGTGTTGAAATTTCGAAACGTTTCGGACGTGTCGACACGAAATTTAGATCCTTGACCATAACCATATGAAGACGATGATATGTCCTTATCCTCTGTTTTATTTGTTCCTCAGTTTTTTTTTAGTTTACTTTCTATTAACAAGATTACCCGCTCCCTTAATTGTTCAGTAACCTTTTATCCCTCTTATTGTATGTTTTAGGATCTCCAAACGAAGAGGAAGATTGGTACAGGGCATGAAGCCAATGGTCTCTATTACTTTGACATTGATCCAACTACTCGGGCACTCCAGATTTTGTCATCTCTTTTTCAGTGGTATTGTCGTCTTAGCCATCCCTTTCTCTATAATCTGAAGCGTCAAGTTTTAAACCTTAGTTATGTGTCGTTTGTGTCTTGTGAAGGTTGTTAACTTAGTAGGCATCACCGTTTATCCTTTCAGTCTAGAGTTAATATTCGTGTGTCTAGTTCGTTTAAGTTAGTACATTTTGATGTATGGGGTTCAATAAAGAATATTTTATCTAATAAATATCCTTATTTTGTGTCATTTGTGGATGATTATTTTTGTGTGACTTGGTTATTTCTTTTGAAAGCTCGTTTTGACTTATTTTCTATATTTGAGACCTTTCGTAAAAAAATAAAAACCCAGTATATTGTCGCATTTGTATTTAATATTCTGATAATGTTCGTGAATATGAATCTGATCCCTTTTTAGCTTATCTTGATAAAATTGATATTATTCATCAAACTTCTTGTGTTTACATCTCTCAGCAAAATCGTGTCGCTAAGCGTAACAACCGTTATCTGTTGGAAGTTACTCGTGCATTGTTATTCAAGATGAATGTTTTCCATTATTTTTGGAGTGAGAATTACTTGTCACCTTATTAATTGTATGTCATCTTCTGTATTAAATGGACAAAATTCATATTTTGTCATTTTCCTTGATAGGCTCTTATTTTCTTTAACTCCTAAAGTTTTTGGGTGTGTTTCTTATGTTCACAACTTGAGCCTCGGGTTTGATAAACTTGATTCTCGTACTACCAAATATGTCTTTCTTGGATACTTCCACGTACAAAAGGCGTATCGTTGGTATAGACCTATTCTTCGTCCTTACTTAACTAGTGTTGATGTCATTTTTGATGAATCTGTTATGTATTTTTGGCACTTGCTTAGCCTTTGGATCTGGACTTTGGGTCGTCTCTTACACCACTGCCTCCTCCCTTACTGTCGGTTATTCTATTGTCTATTGTGCTATCATCTACTACTCTGATCCGTATATAATGTCATCATTCGCGTTCGTCGACTGAGGTGCCCGTACCGTCTTTTTTGTTGTCTTATGATCTTGATCCCTCAGGTAATTTTAACTCTTTACCAGTTGCTTTTAGGAAAGGTACTCGAGCGTGTGTTACTAACCATCCTATTGCTCATTTTTTTTGTATGATGCCTTATCTCCAGTCTTTTCTTGTTTTACCTCTCAACTGTCTACTATATCTATTCCTAAGCACTTACAGGGTGCATTGTCTGATCCAAGGTGGAGGAAAGCTATGAAAGTGGATATGGATGTGTTACATCATAATGGGACTTAAAATCTTATTATTTTACCACTTGGTAAATGGACTGTTAGTTGTCATTGGATGTATACAGTTAAATTTAATTTGGATAATTCTGTTGGGCAGGCGTCTCAAAGCCTATCTTGTTACTAAAAGTTTTACTCAAACCTATGGTGTTGATTATGAGGAGATTTTTTCTCCTATTGTCAAAATCTCTTATGTTCGTATATTGATTTATTTGGTTGTTAATCTTGATTGACCCTTATTTCAGTTAAATATCAAGAATGCTTTCTTACATTGTAACTTGCTTGAAGAGGTCTACATGGAGCAGCCACATGGGTGTATTGCTCAAAGAGAGTACTGTAAGAGTGTGTGTCGGGTAAAGAAATCTTTGTATAGTTTAAACCAGTTGTCGAGGGTATTGTTTGGTTTGGTTATTTTTTAGATGCAGTTTTAGAGTTTGGTATTTTTCAGATAGACCACTCTGTGTTTCATAGACAGACGGATGCCGAATATATTCTATTGGTGGTTTATACAGATGATATTGTAATTATTGAAAATGATTATGAGGGGATGACCAAGTTAAAAACCTTCCGTTGAACCGATTTCACACTAAATACCTAGGAAAACTCAGGTACTTATTGGGTATTGAGGTTGCTAGATCTAAATAGGGTATTTGTTTATCCTAGAGGAAATATGTACTTGATATGCTAGAAGAAGCAGGTTTACTGGGTGGCAGACCAATTGATATTTCTATAGGTTCGAATCATAAATTGATGGAGGATGATGATGCACTTTTTGAAAATCCAAGTCGGTATCGCAGGTTAGTTGAGAAGCTTAATTATCTCATTGTTATTATACCGGATATTTCCTATGCAGTTAGTGTAGTAAGTCAGTTTATGAGATGCCCTAGAGTAACACATTGGGAGACAGTCACTCATATTCTTCAATACCTCAAACTTGCTCCTAGTCTTGGGTTGTTGTATCGAGCTAATGGACATCTTAGAGTGGAGGGGTTTTCAGATGTTGACCGAGCTGACTCTCCCTCTAATTGGAGATCAACCACTTGTTATTGTACTTTCTTGGGAGATAATGTTGTCTCATGGAAGAGTAATAAACAAACAGTGGTAGCAAGATCCAATTTTGAGGGTGAGTATAGAGCAATGACACGTACAATTAGTGAGTTGACGTGGCTACTACACTTTTTCCAAGAAATTGGCTTTCCAGTTTAACCACCTTTACAGTTGTTCTGTGATAATTAAGCTGTTATCCATATCGCGCCAATCTAATATTTCACGAGAAAACTAAACTTATTGAGGTTGATTGTCATTTTATTCGAAACAAAATAATAGCGGGGATATTACAATTCTATTTGTGAGATCTGAGGATCAACTTGCAGATATGTTTACCAAAGTATTGAGTTGTATGCATTTTACAATAATTTGTCCCAAGCATGAATTATATGATATATATAGTTCAACTTGAGGGGTTGTTAAGAGTATTAGATTATTATTATATAAATTCTGGTTGTAATAAGTATACCATAAAGAGGGTATATTTGTCTTTTGTATGATTACGAGATAACTATAAATACAAATAGTGTGTGAGTGGTAGGTTAAGTTTTTGACCACTCTTAGTTTCTCTAATAATGTGCTAATTCTCTAAACTTAACAAGACTCTTTGGAATTGTGGGTCATTGTGATATCTTGGTGTATTTGGCTAGGGAGGAATGCAAGAATCTTCCATGATCATGATCTTCCACCAAACTTAGTATAGGATAGAATTGTGGTCGTTGCTTCTTTGTGGACCAAGTCCACCGGAAAATTCAGAGCAGTGCCTTTGCCAGATTTTTAGCTGGGGAATTTGAAAGTAGTTCTATTTTGGTTTTCTTTTCCCTGTTTTTTGTAGTTTCCTTGTCTTTTTTCTTTTTTGAGGATATCTTGTCCTCTACAGTGTATTTCTTTTACCTCTTATCTGTCTTAATAATATTCTTATTTTATTAAAAAAAAAAAGAGAATAAGTGGCCCAAAAAAGGGAGACAAATGCAAGTTTTCAAAAGTTGGATGCTGAAGTAGTTTTCAGTTGCAGCCACTTCTTTAATGCCAAAAGTGGGGCGCCATCACTAGGACACTATAGTTTGCATATGTAAGTGGAAGGAGAAACATCAGTCTGGCTTAAATTTAGAAATCATTTTTCCTTTTAGAAAATTTTGAATGTAACTGCCTAGGGTAGCTGTGTGAACTTGAATTGTCATTACTTGTATTTTACTTACCCGGGTTTGATATTAGCTTATGCAAGCCAACCAAAAAAAAGGTGGAATGCATTTCACTTGTTGGTCAGACTTCAAAAAGATCATTTCATGCATTATTACTCAAGGCTATTTTATGTTCTTCTTACCATAATTAATAAATTGTTGAGAGAATTCTGGAAAGTTTTATGATAGAGGGCATCCAAATTTTCTCTCTTTTTTCCAGGCGGTATCTGGCATACAACCTGACACCTGTTGCTGGAGTTGCAGCACACATATCACGTAATGGCCACCCTGCTGACACTTATTTGTCAAGCTCCATCATGGCCCCTCTTCCTTTGTCTGGTGTAATAAACATACCAGTCACTGTTCTTGGATGTTTCCTCGTGCGTCACAACCAAGGTCGTTACCTCTTCAAATACCAAGACACTGAAGGTTTGACAGAGGTGCAGTCTGATGCTGGAAATCAGTTGATTGAAGCTTGGAACAGAGAACTGATGTCCTGTGTTCGGGATTCCTATATTAAAATGGTGGTTGAAATGCAGAAGTTAAAAAGAGAACCTTCAATTTCCACTCTTGAGTCAAATGCAGGTCGTACTGTTAGTGTGGCTTTGAATGCCTATGGTGATCAAATTTATTCCTTCTGGCCTAGGTCCAATGAGCATTCACTGATTGACCATCCTGGTGACGGCAATCATGTAATTCCAGTGAAGGTTCTTAAAGCAGACTGGAAATGTTTAGTTGAACAAGTAATAAAGCCTTTCTATGCCCGCCTTGTTGACCTTCCTGTGTGGCAGCTATACTCAGGAAATTTAGTCAAGGCTGAAGAGGGTATGTTCCTTTCACAACCTGGAAGTGGAGCGGGTGGTAGCTTGCTACCAGCCACAGTTTGTGCCTTTGTGAAGGAACATTATCCGGTGTTTTCAGTGCCATGGGACTTGTTGACTGAGATCCAGGCGGTTAGAGTTACAGTACGAGAGATCAAACCTATGATGGTTCGCAACCTTCTTAAGGTTTCTTCAACATCTATCGTTCTTCGATCAGTTGATACATATGTGGACGTCCTTGAGTACTGCTTGACTGATATTCAGTTTCTGGAGCCACTGATTCAAGTGGTCCCAATACATCAAAAGGTCTCAGCAGCTCTGATTCTGTTCACAGATCAAGTAAGGAAGAGGGCAGCAGCTCTGCTATCCCAAATGTGCAGAGAGTTCATGGGGTGTCCACCCCGAGCCCAATCAGTTCAGGAGGAGATGCTCTTGAAATGATGACAAGTTTAGGAAAGGCCTTATTTGATATTGGCCGGGGAGTTGTTGAAGATATTGGCAGGGCTGGTGTTCCCTTGTCTGAGAATAACGTCTGTGCAGGTAGTAACATTGATGGCATCAGTAGAAACGGCGCCTGGAAGCTTCAATCTGTAGCTGCTGAACTCAAAGGCATACCATGCCTGACTGCAACAAATCATCTAACAAAGTTGGGGGTTACTGAACTTTGGGTTGGAAACAAACAGCAACAAACACTAATGTTTTCTTTCGCGGCAAAGTTTATCCATCCAAAAGTATTAGAGCGATCAATGCTTGCTGATATTTTTTCTGACTGTACTCTTCAACCATTATTGAAGCTGCAAAGTTTCTCTCTTCGCTTGTTGGCTAATCATATGAGGTTTCTATTTCATGAAAACTGGGTAAATCTTGTTTTTGACTCAAATATGGCTCCATGGTTTTCATGGGAGAACACTGCGAATTCTGGTGGTAAAGGGGGTCCTTCTCCCGAGTGGATTAGGCTCTTCTGGAAAAGTTTTAGTGGATCCTTGGAAGACCTTTCACCTTTTTCTGATTGGCCCCTTATACCTGCTTTTATGGGCCAGCCTGTATTATGCCGTGTAAGAGAGCGTCATTTGGTCTTCATTCCCCCCCTCCTTAATGATTCAGATTCTGCAAATGCTGTTATGGGTACAACAGAAAGTGACCTTCCTGGATTATGTAATGAGTCTGGATTGATACAGCCCTACATGGTAGCTTTTAAAGTTGCAAAAGCAAAATACCCTTGGTTGTTATCGTTGTTGAACCAGTGCAACATTCCTATATATGATGCTGCTTTCTTGGATTGTGCTGTTCCATGCAACTGTTTCCCTACACCTAGCCAATCATTAGGGCAAGTTATAGCATCCAAGCTTGTTGCAGCTAAACATGCTGGCTATTTTCCTGAACTCACTTCATTTTTAGCTTCAGATCGTGAAGAACTCTTTACCCTATTTGCTTCTGATTTCTCTTCTAATGGCTCCGAGTATGGAAGGGAAGAACTTGAAGCGTTGCGTGATCTGCCTATATATAAAACAGTTGCTGGGACGTACACTAGATTGCACCACCCAGATCTATGTATGATCCCTTCAAATACATTTCTCAAGGCATATGATGAGCGGTGTCTTTCTTACACCACAGATTCAGATGCAAGTTCATTACTCCGAGCTCTTGGGGTCCCTGAGTTGCATGATCCACAAGTTTTGGTAAGGTTTGGGTTGCCTCGGTTTGAAGGGAAACCTCAGTCTGAGCAAGAGGACATTTTGATATATCTTTATACTAATTGGCAGGATCTCCAACAAGATTCTTCTGTAGTTGAAGTGTTGAAGGAGACTAATTTTGTGAGGAGAGCTGATGAACTTTCACTAGTTCTCTCTAAACCCAGAGATCTTTTTGATCCTAGAGATGCCTTATTGACATCTATATTCTCGAATGAGAGAGAAAGATTTCCGGGAGAAAGGTTTGTTACAGATGGATGGCTGGGGATATTAAGGAAAACCGGCCTTCGAACATCAATAGAAGCAGATGTTGTACTTGAATGTGCCAAAAAAGTGCAGTTTCTTGGAGCTGAATGTATGAAACCTATGGGGATTCTTGATGACTTTGACACAGCTCTCTCCAACTGGCAGAATGAAATTTCTTTGGAAATTTGGTCACTAGCTGAAAGTCTTGTCAAAGCAATATTCTCAAATTTTGCTATCCTTTATGGCAACAATTTCTGCAATCTCCTAGGCAAGATTGCATGCATACCTGCTGAAAAGGGCTTTCCAAATGTGGGGGGCAAGAAAGGTGGAAAGAGAGTGCTCTGTTCATATAGCGATGCTATTTTATTGAAGGATTGGCCGTTTGCTTGGAGTTGTGCTCCTATTCTTTCCAGACAGAGTGTAGTTCCACCTGAGTATTCTTGGGGAGCACTCAATCTGAGGAGTCCTCCAGCTTTTTCTACTGTTTTGAAACACCTGCAGGTAACAAATTCAGATTCATGTCATTGTAATTGACAGGTACTGCCGGATTTGAATAAACATGCAGCAAACATTTTCCACAGGTTATTGGAAGAAATAGTGGTGAAGACACTCTTGCATATTGGCCAGCAGCATCGGGCTTGATGACTATTGATGAGGCTTCTTTTTCTGTCTTAAAGTATTTGGACAATGTCTGGGGTTCCCTATCTTCTTCAGGTATCTTCCTTTTTTCTTCTTGCTATGCATCATTCTGCTTTCTTGTAACTCAACAATTGGGTTCCCGTTGTTTTAAGCCTTTCAAGCCGTCCTGTGGCTCTCCCAGCGTAGTGTCAAAAAGTATCTGAATTTGGTGCAGCCTTGAGAAGGGGCTAGGACATTCATGAATGCTGAAAATTTCATGAATGCACCGGAAACAACTTTATGTTTTGCCTCCTTTATCTGATTCTGTATTCTATGCAATCTAATTGCAATATTTAATCTATGCATTAAATTGTCTCTATCAAACATTTGGGACTTATATATGTCAGTCCACCTAAGCATTTTTTTTAAAAGCTCGGCACGCCCTTTGTATATCCTGTGATGAAGTTATCAATCAATAGATGATAGATTTTGCTATGTCCTTAACCCTTCTTTTTTTCATGCATGACCTCTGTAATCCCTACAATCTATGACTAGTGCACTTTTTGGGATTTCGAACAGAAAGGATATTGCATAGCAACAGTTATACTACAAGCTAAGATACCACAATCGACGGATGTTTAGAATACATAGAGGATATGCAGCCGATACATTTAGGATATGCAGGATATGTCAAGACTAAATATGTGATTTTTGTTTTTTACTTTTAAAATACTTCATTGAAGTAAAATAAATAAATATTTATTTAGACAAAGATACTGTTAGAGTATGGTTTGGACATTTACTTTATTCTTTGTTGCCCTACTATTTAAGGGCCTACATTGTGTATTTTATGTTAAGTTGTATTACAGACTTGTTTAGCAATAATAATTTTTTCTCTAATTCCTTTCGCTCTTCTTTCTTTGACCAAAGTTTTCATGGTATCAGAGCATGGTTTCGATCCAAAACATATTGTAGCACCACAGTAATTTAGTTAGAGAAAGAATATGTTCTTGGATTAGGGTTGACATCATCTATGGGGGATTTCTTGCTATTTTCTTCGATTTCTTTACTTCAAACCAAGCCTAAGTGGTGCAATTAGAGGTTCTTGGTGCTTGGTTATGTGATTTGAGGGCTAGCGGTTGATGGTTTGCTTATTTTTTGTGGTTCTAAGTGATGTGAACAGTACCAAAATTCAATATTTAGTGTCATTTTGCTATATTTTTTGTGTAAAAAACTTTATTTGATTGTGGGTATTTGATTTGCAAAGCTGTTAAAGTTGATTTGTGACAAACTTTTGATTGTTTGGCCTCTAGCAATTTGATTGTTGTATGCTCTGTTGGTCTCGAACTCTACTGGTGGTTTGCTCTATTTCTTCGTCTTGTCATTCAGCTTCTGTTTTGGCTTTTGATCACATTTGAGCGTTATTGGGCCAACTGAATATTGGATTCATTATTATTTGGTTGTTGGTTATTGACCTTAAATTTGACATTGGGCTTAATTGTTGGTGTGGTTTCTAGCTGCCTTGGTTGTTGGTTTGGACTGGTCTTTGCTTGTGGACTTTGATCTTTTTGGATTTTGGTGGTCCTTACATTGGGTTTTGGAGCTTTGGGTTAATTGCAATTTGGTTAGTGGAAACACCGACTTTTTTCAGATTATGATTTTTAATCAATTAAAGAAGCTTCTCCAACAACCTAATACTTTCTCAGTCTCTCATTCTATAGATTTGTTCACTTCGGGTCTTTTAGGTATATCTCGAACCGCTTGGGTCTTTGACTCAGGTGCTACACATCACATGACAAGTGATTTTTTCTTATTTGCATCTACTTTCTCTCCTCCCTATAAATCTGTGCTTGCAACTAATGGTACTCAAATAACTTTTGCCGGTGTTGGGTCTATTATTTTATCACAACTAACACTTCCAGATGTTTATTATATTTCACAGCTTACCTTGAATTTGATTTTAGTTTGTTAGTTATTCGACTCTTAGATTTTCGGTTCATTTTTCTTTCTCTAGTTGTGTTGTGTTGGATCCACGTTCCAATAAGTTAATTGGGACAGATAGTAGAAAGGGTGGGTTGTATGTGTTAAACGAGTTACATATTCCATATATTTGTTGCTTCTTCTATTGATATGTCTTCTTTTCATTTGAGTTCACAGTCTTCTTGCTTTTATTTATGATATTCTTGTCTTAGTCATGTTTCTCATTCACATCTGAAGTTTTTAGCCTCTACTGATAGTTTGGGTAATTTAGAGGGTCATAACATTTTCAGTTATAGTGGGTGCAAGTTAGCTAAATTCACTGCATTATCCTTTAAGAAAAGTTCGACTAGCTCTTTTGTACTTTTTGATCTGGTCCATTTAGAAGTATGGGGACCTGCTCCTATTTCCACTAAAGGAGGGTCCAAATGTTGTATTTCTTTCATTGATGACTATACCAGGTATTGTTGGGTCTATATAATGAAACATCATTTTAAAATTTTTCATGTTATGATCAAGGATCGAAATTTCGTTTCGAAGTACCGTTTCGGTCATCTAAAAAACGGAAAAGTTTCAGAAACGCAATGGAAACGCAGAAAAAATATGGAAACGCGTGGAAATACAAATACAATCTATTAATCTATAAAGATAAGCTAAATAATTGATTAATTCAACACATTTATTGACTTAACATCCATTTATACAAGAATAAATTTAAAATTGGAGGAAAAAAAAGGCTTGACATGAGGTGAAAATCACTTAAATTAGTTTTAAACACTTAATTTTTATCAAATAAACACATTTTTATATAATATTAAGTTCAAGGATCAAAATATCGTTTCGAAATGGTCGAAAACGTTTCCGTTTCTAAGGAGACCGAAATGAAACAGTGATGAAATCGAAATTTTAATATTTCAAGGTATTCCATAATGTTTTTAAATATATTATAATATCTCAATACATTTGCATAATTATTTTAGAATATTTTAAGATATTTCAAGATACTTTGATATATTTCTATCAATGTTTTAAAAAAATAATTCTTAAATTTTTTATTTTTTTCATTATGTTTTCGAAACGGGTTGAAACGTTTCCAAAACACGTCGAAACGTTTTCATTTTCTAGGTAACCGAAACAATACACCGAAACGATATTTTGATATTTGATTAAGGTCTCGTAATACACATGAAATGCTAATGAGTACATACTTACATGGCTACATCCATCCCCCTGTGGAGTGTCGAGCAGGCTCATACATCGGTGTAGGCTCTGGATAGCTACTTAGAGAAACTCCATATGTGACATAAATATGATGACAATAGTTACTTCAACTCAGATTATTACGATAATATGAATTATATTCTCTCCCAAACCTGTGATAGTCTGCAACACTACATCCAATCTGTTGGGGAATGAATGCACCAGTCCCTGACCAACCTTCATCTTATCTATATGAGGAGGATGTCTGGGAGTCATAGCCAGATCCATAACCATATGTTGAGGACCCATATTCGTATCCTCGTGTGTCATACCCCGATCCATAATCATATGAGGGAATACCATATCCAGAACCATAACTATATGAAGACGATGAACCATAATTATGGTGTTCACTTCCACTTTCACTTATACTCATGGTAGAAAAATCATCATTAATCATATCAGCTCCATGCCTAATAGCACCCATACCATGTGGAGTGATCGGATTTTGAGTACGCTCACGTTGACGATCTCGAGTTGATTTTGAGCGTCGTTCATATTGAAGCATTCGTTGAGAGCCATGATCTTCATCTTGTGTAGCATGTGTAAATCTTTCCTCTACAGTGAATACAATTTCATGTGGACTTTAGCTCCCCATACCTCCATCACCACCACCACCACTATCTTCATCATCATTTTCACCACTATCATCATTGCTACCGTCACTATTATGATCATCCTCAGTACTACTAGTGATAGTGATAGGTTGCTTACGTCTTGGTGGACCTCTCATTAGTTTGTCAAACTCTTCATCATCCATTGCTTTACTTGCTTCTCCTCTATTTATTTTGGATCTTGATTTTCGTAGTGGCACAACACCTTGACTTAGGCCTACTCCTCCATCGTCATCGGAAAAACGATTTGCCCACGTCGCTAGAAAAGTGTTTGGTCTTTGTTGATTGCCCATCATCATCAAGTTCATCTAAAAGTGCATCACCAGGATCATCTAACCACTCTGAAATACCTTCATCTTCGTCAAAAACAGTGGTTAAGTCTATAGGTCTGAATTCATACCCTTTTTTGTCCTTCATAAGGTGCTTTAACTTCAACCTCATGTTATATTGTGCAAACACCAGCCTTTCTAACTTTTGATAATTGAGTCTATTCTGCACTTTAGTGTGAATGAGAGCAAATGTGCTCCAGTTTCTCTCACAACCACTAGATGAAGCTGTTTGCGACAATATTCTCATAGCAATCTTTTTCAAATTTGAAGCATCAGTGCCATACATAAACAACCATTCAGCTGCATAATAATAAGAAATATATTAAATCCTTAAAGAAAAATATAAATAGAAAATCATGAGAACAAAATATAAGTGTGTAAATAATCTACTTAATTATCTGGATCACTTTTTGTTCTTCCTCTAATTGCAGCTTGGTTAGCAAAATAATACATGACCTCCCGAAATATTTTTACCTAAATATCATGGGTATATTGATGTTATATATTAATTCAGCACATTTGTAAATTGAGATTGAAATACTAAAGTATTACCTCTGCAAGTGCTTCAGCAGCCTTGTTTGGATTTGTTTCTAGTCTAGACACAACGATCTGAAGCGAACCCAAGAAATTTTCTAATACACCAACATCTTCTTCATAATAGTATGTGGGGTTCAAGTAATAAGTTACACAATATAAATAATGATAACACTTATAAATGATAATATCCAAAATGATAACACTTATCAATAATAAAAATATAAATTGATAAACAATAAGTTTACCTGCCATATGAATATGTTGAATGATTTGTTTTTTCCATCGAGCATCAATGATGTCAAGATATTTTTTGCACGATTTAGGAGCTGGATCTTTGACAGCTTGTCTTGCTCGTTTCATTGCTTCATATATATATGACATTGTTGTTTTTCTTTCCTCATCCACCATTATTAGAACTTTTGCAATAGGTGTATGCATATTCAACACATTTTTGGCGGTCTTCCAAAATTTAGGATTTAGAATTGTCCCTTAAACTCGCTTTCCAACTGAATTCCAACTGAATCCTTTGCTGCCGCAGTCCTAGACTAATCTTCTGAAGTAATAAACATCCTTTGCAAACCATTTCTCTGCTCCAACATACTTTGTAAGGCAATATAATTAGTGGCAAATCTTGTTTGCCCTGGCCGAATCAATTCCCACGAACAAAATGTTCTCATTATATCCAAGACTCTATTATGATTATAAATAAAATTGGTCACTCTTTTAGCTTGATCTAGCACATTTTGAACCGTTTCAATCTTGAAAAAATCATGCAAAATCAAATCTAGAGAGTTGGCAGCACAAGGAGTCCAATATAGGTGTGATCTTCTTTCCATCAATATTTCATCAGCTTTTTTGTACGCACTGCCATTGTCTGTAATAATCTGAACCACATATTTCTCTTCAATCTCTTCAACAACAGCATCCATCAACCCCAAAATATAGTTAGCATCCTTGTCATGACCAGAACTATCAATTGACTTGTGGAAAATAACTTTTCCATCACAATATATCAAGAAGTTAATGATAGATAATTTTGTGGTGGATGTCCATCCATCACATATGATTGTCACTCCATAAATCTCCTACTTCTTTTTGAACTGATCAATGTACTCTTTAAGCTCATCTTTCTCATTATCTAGCAATGGTCCGCCAATCTCATATAGGGTTGGGCCTTTCACACCCACTCCAGCTAAGCAATTTCATCAATCATCAATAGGTAAAAATGACCTTGAGCTTTGCTTGGTGGAATATTCTCATAAATGAAATACTTTGCAATAGCATGTTTTGCCGACTTTACCCATTTTTTGGGATTCCACATGAGTTAGCTTGACTTGCTTCACTTCCCTATTCCGATACATTGAATGATCCATCTCTTCTATCGTGAGATCCTTTTCTCTGCCTATCAACTTTTGTGATTTTCTTGAGAATTTATCCCAAGATTCCTTCATACTATGTGATCGCATTAAACCCCTAGATATACCACCTTTTCGGATAGATGGTTTAAAACTTCCTTCCCTAAAGCCTTGCTTGGCTATATGTATATCACGAATAGATTGTTGTTTTGCATACTCAATACCAGCTCTATATTCTATATCCATATCATCATCTGAATTCTCATCGGAAGAATAAATTTCAATACCACTCCTCCGCCTCGATCCACCAATTAAATTTTGTCTCATTTTTCTCCGTTCATCAGTC